TTATCAAATCTGCTAGATGGCTGACATATACAACGCCTAATTTCCTTCAAAGGTAGCAAAGCCAGAACGTTTCCACAGCAATTAAAGTGGATCCTCCAGAAGCACAGCTACTACGAGATGGTGTGGTTACAGCATTTCCCCAAAGGTCAGGTATCGACTCTCCGTTCGTCCCCTCAGCCCCTCAGAAAACCTACGCTTGTTTTACACCTGGAAATCTCTTTCATCCACGGATGGCACCAAAGGAAGCGGCGATAGGAAGAAGGCAACAGAGACGTTTGAAGAGCAGGGACTCGCTGACCCCACGAGCTGAAGCTGTGGCCTATGCGGACAGATTCACTTTCTCTCACTGGTGATATAAACATGTTCTGGAACCAGATCCAACACAAAAGAGTTATATCACTTCAGGTCGCACTGATTACCGAACACATCGAAATCCAGGCGGCTCAAGTCTCGCACGAACAACGTTAACTGCCCCCAATCCTGGGCCACCCCCAAAAGCATATGTCTACCTGTGGATTAGTAAATTAATTTAAAAAAAAAAGACAAGTTTGTTGTATACAACATCCATGAATGCCGTAATTAGGCTCTGTGTCCAGAAACGCCACATGGGTTTCCATCAGCCGATTATGAAAACAACAGCTTCGCTGAAAGCCTCTTCACGCATCTCATCAAGGAAGCGGGCCGCCGCGCAGAAGCGAGGCAAGGGAAGAGGCCCTCCTTCCAGCTGCTTTCCTTGGCCAAAGTCACACTCCCCACCAAGCACACCTTGGGCAGCCCCTCCGACTTCACCAACAGCAAAATGCCATTTTCTTGACGCGCTTTGGGCCACCTTCTCCTTCACAGCAGTGCACGGGCACGCGGGCACCTTCGTCAACACATCTCTTTTGACCCAAAAGGCCGGGCTGGCTCTAGTTTTCCTGACAATTTACGCTTCAGACAATTTACCCTTCACCTTCGTCAACACATCTCTTTTGACCCAAAAGGCCGGGCTGGCTCTAGTTTTCCTGACAATTTACCCTTCAGGCAGCAGAAACCAAGATTGCAAAGGCTCAGCTGAAACCTCAACATTCAAAGTTATAACTTCCCATTTCCCAACAATCCTTCTAGAAAACATCGCACTTCGCTGCTGCAGTTGCTCCCCCCACCTCCCCAATAATTCATTTTTACCTCAACGGCAGAGGCAGTTGCTTTCTTGTAAAAACCCAGAGTTTAAAGATGACTTCTTCCACTTGCCATAATCCATTGTGCGGGAGAAACAGACATACAATATCATATTGTTCCCTGTACAACACTTTGAGCTGTACTTTCTGCTCTGAACACACTGAAACTCCACTTGAGGCTACAGCAATTTCCATGCAGGAGGCAAAGGAGAATCTTGTATCTGATCTAATACAGAATAAATCAATGTGCACTCATTTATTGCTTATAGTTCCAATCAGCTCAAGGAGAGACACTGTCCTAGAGTTTCAAGGCTATCCGCGCTGCCTTTGTGTACGGAAAACATACCTCGCACTTTGAGATATTTTGAGAACCCCGTTCAAACGCTTCCCAGGCGCTGGGGTGACGAAGGACTGGAAATCACTAAACCCCGGCTGCCTCTCGCTGTTCTCAGCACGCGGTTTTGGGAAAGGTCATGCAAGGATTGCATCCCTGGTCTTGCCTTCTACAGAAATTCAGTTAATACTAGTCGTTCACCTCAGACGGGTGCTGGGAAGCTTAATTAGAGTGTGTACAGCACTCAGCGATTCTCGGATAAGATGTACTAGGGAAGGGCAGCATCATATTAATTAGCGTGGATTCGAGGGACGAAAGCGCTTCTCTCTCTCTCTCCTTGAGCTGTTGGAGCTTGAAAGAAAAATTCGCCAGCACCACAGTCCTACACATTGTAGTGAGAAAGCCATCAGCACCACAGTGACCGTGTCTTTCTGGATGCGGTCTGAATTCCCGTCAACTTTGCAGGATTCTGACCTTTCGCTGGGGCCGTAAACGGGAGCTCCCTGGAAGACGTGTATCCCAGCGCAAGCCGAGGAACGCAGTGTTTTAATACTCCTCCCCATGCAGGTATTTTCTCCCATTAAGTGCTTAAGAGCTGTAGGATTAGGGAGATTAATTTTTGCAGCTGGACATTTTCTTTAAGAATGTAATTTTCCACACAGTTTTCTCATTTAGCTTTCTTTTCTGCTAACCCCAAGACGTTCACTTACCCAGAAGAGGACTCTTCTGCAAGGTTCAGAAGGGAATACACTCTTGCACTTTAGTCCTTTCTTGTTACACCTGCAACAGGCTTGCTTCCAGAAAACCCTGTTACTACTGATTTCAACCCAGTAACTTGTCTGCATTTCCAGACAATCAACACCAAGAGTCCAAAACTACAAATTCATTTATCCAAGGACCCGATTGTAACAAAGCTACATCATGGATCGGGGTTTTTTTTAAAAAAAAGCACAAGAAGTTCCTTAAAAAAACATGAGCGTTGATGTACTGGAATCACACAGATACACAGACGGTTGTGACAGGCTGGAACAGGGATTAAAATTTAGAGAAGTTCATTGCCATAACAACACAAAACGAGAGTGCAACTTAATTATTATCAACCTCGGACGCGTGATTTCACGTAAGGGCGGTGGCGCCCGCTTTGTCTTTCCCTCGGTGTCACCTGGGAAGAGGATGATGGGTCCTTCACGGCAAATGGTCCCAGCTGGTGTCTGGGGACACACTGAAATAAAAGCTTTGTGTTTAACCTGCCGCCAAACCCCTAGGAGTCGAGGGTCAGGCACAGTAACAAGTGCGCTATTCCTCCAACTTCTGGCTGAATATTCTGTTCCGAGAGTTTAAGCATAAGGAAGACAAAACCAGAAGGAAACAACCTCCTGACCCTCCCCGTCCCCATGCCCCCATCATCACCCTGGCAGGCCCTCCCTCCCCTGAAAAGGACTTCTCACATACTCTTTTTTTTCCCTGAAAAAGAGAAGCCTCTGAATAAAAAGGTGAAATTACACAGTTCTGTTAACGCCATCTCAGTCCTCAGCAGAGGGGTGGAGGCAGAGCAGAGGGGAAACATTGGAATTCCTCGCAGCCTCCGCGAGACACAACTTTTCTGCATTTCACAGTCGATTTTCTTCGCAGGCAAAGAGGTAAGTGGGACTACATGTTCTGTTTTTTAAACAAGCTTACTGTTGCAAGTGATGGCGTTAGTCTGCTCCCTCACTAATTTAAGCTTCCCGCTTCTCAGAGATAAACGTGCCTTTCAAGTTGTTTACGCCAGCCTTCCTCTTCTAATCTTTCAGCCCACTCTCACAGCACCCACGGACTGCAGGAGGCTCCGTATCATTCAGCATCACTTGCACAGAATAAGCTTTATATTTTTTTCAGCATATTCAACTTTAACAGTGATTAAAACATATAGCAAAATAACAGTTCTTCAATACCGAGAGACACTTCATTCGAAGAATTCCAGGAAATGAACGCTCAAAAACCACACAGCGCTCTTTTAAGAAGCACAAAATTGGTCCCTACACAATTTCCCTGTATTTCAAGGGAAGCAGATTGCGGAATATTTTTATTTATTAATACGCTCATTCTCATGCTTGTGCTTTAACACAGTCACGCTGGCTTTAACCAAGTGGTAAACCTCACACAACTTCTTTAAAGGGATGGGAGGCGGGTGGAAGAAAAAGATGAGAGAAGAGCGATTAAAATTAGTCACAAGAAAGCCTATAAATACACCAGTGGTCAGAGGAAGCACTCATCTATTTAACTTAAAAATAGAGAGCTAAACGTTAAAAGACAAATGGATGCAACAGAGCAGATGCGATGGAGCAACGACGCAGCAGAGCTTAGAGAAAGTCAACCGGGCAGTTTAGCCAGGGAAGTGTATTGCATAGGCGGGAGAGGAGGAGGAGGAGGGAGGAGGAATCTTCACTGTCAGAAACTAGCTACTGCCTCGGGAAGTCACAGGAGGAGGAAATTAAGGGAACCCACATGATTGCGAGAGAGAAATCACATCACAGAGCCCCAGAGGTGGCATGGAATAGAGGTATAACGTAGAAAAAAGGGATGCCAGGCCAGGAAATGATTTATCTGTTACAAATGTTAAAGTTTGTGGCAGCAAGGGCTCGAATGGGATCGCAAGACCTGTGCGTACACCTGCAACGTCAACTGGAAGTCAAAGGGATGCGTTGAACAAAGCGGCTCAAACGCATTCCGTGGGGTCTAACATAAAGCAGGAGCTCACCGAACGTGCTCAAACACATCTGCTCTTCCCATCTCACCTAGTGCGGGGCGACGGCTTTAACGAGGATATACCGAGGAGAAAGCAATGCTTCCGAGAGATGGTGGCTTTTGTTTTCCCCCTCCCAACGCTCATAGGCTGGCTCCGTCCCACCAAATACCTGGGGCTAACAGGAGTATGAATATATTGTCTAAAAGCACTCCGGGTTCTTTGATAAGAACACAATAAAGATGTTAAAGGGACTTATCAACACGTATCGCTTTCCTTATTGCAAAAACCGGAATGTAACCGAGAAACAGGCAAAACAACAGTTGCAAAGGACAGATGCTGTATGGTGCTAGGAAAATACTACATGACACGATTGCAGCTGCTGCACCTGACAGCCCGGGCCAGCGGTACAGCGCGACGGGTCAGCGCTAAGAAAAGGAGACGCTCTGGGCCAACGTGCTGGAAAGGAAAGTTGAGCTTAAGGACAACGAGGTCACGGGTTATTACACGGAAACGACAAAAAATGTGTGTTAGAAGCGGCATCGGTAGGACCCGTCCATCCAGCGTCCTCCGCCCTCTCGGTGTAACAGGGGCGCTGGGAGTAAACAAGCAACACAATCAGCAACTTCCCGATCTGATTTTCTCAGGCAGCCGCCAGGATGCCGAATGACAGCTCTGAGAGTTTCAGGTCCTGGCAAGCGCGAGAAAGAGCAGCCGCCGCAAAGAGAAAAACACGCGAGGCCGTCACAGAGGGCAGGAAACAACGACAAAGCGATCTTACTTTCGTTAGGCAGCTCCTCCCGATCCAGGTCATCTAGAGGGGCCGAGGCGCCGCTGCCACTGTCGTCCAGGGTGAGGATGAGGGGAACGTCATCATCCATGCTCACAGCCATCCTGTCCCTTCAGAGGCTCCCGCTCCAAGAGCTTTAAACGCCTTTTTCAGTTCCACTTGTAAAACGCTTACGTCAAAAACTCTCCCCAGAAAGTCTTCCATCAGGGGCGCCTTCTAGACATAAGAACATAAAGGTATGCGTACCCATCTCTAGAGACCACAGTTCAAAAAAGGATCGTTGTTTGCTTTCGAAAAGCAGCGCAGGGCGCTAGCCTCAATGGCAGTATTTACGCAAAAACTCAATTCCAAAAGTCAGGTGCGGGCTGCCTGTTCCAGGCAGTACAGCACGGAAGCAAAAGAAAGTGCTTCTCGACAAACTCCTGACCACTCAGCACAAGCAGCAGCAGCGGGCGTGAGGCATCCGGAGCCAGCATGATGCTAAGTGTCACCGTCACACATGGCTCTTTCCCCTGTCACGCCAAAATGCCTCGAGTTCAGGTGGGGAGGGGGAAGGAGGGAGAAAAAAGAGGCCGGTTTGAGTCTGCACACATGAAGTTCCCGCAGGTTTTTTTACTGGGTGATGTCACCGTCACAAAGTCACGGATTTCTGTAAAAGGTGGAGGAAGAACAAAACCGAGCAGGCCCTGGACACCCTCGCAGGGACGCTCCGCAACCGGTGCCGCCACGCAGCTGTTGCTCTCCCCCGTCTCCGTCCTTGCGGGCCGTGGCGAGGGCAGGCAGAAGTCACGGCGGAGGCCGCATCTCCCACAGCAACAGGCCGGCCGCGCCGCTGCGGGGCG